AGATAGATACTTATAGTACTTATACATTACTAATATGTCGACTATATATCTAATATAGAAAATTGTATGTACATTATACTATGATAATTCTAACATTGTCGTAACATATAACAGAACATTATTAGTGAATATAAATTATAATTTGATATTCATTTATGATAATATATTATCGTAACCAAAAATGGCATTGGATGTAAGAAAAAAGTGCTATTACGGCTTCGTATCGATATATCTATTAATTAAAAATCTGTATTTTATGTATATTACAGACTTTTAGTACTGGTGATATATATTAGAACACGGCCTACATTGCATGTGTATATAATACAACTAAATATGTATATAATGCAACTAAATTTCTAAGGTCCGATTCTACAAATATAAGATTAACTTCAATTATGTTTATTTTTTTTTCAATTCTAAAATTGGAAAATTTTCTAAAATAAATCTTACATTGTGGAACCGACCCTAATACACGTCCCTGTTAAGATGGTAATGTAGGAAACGGAATATCGATAATTAATCGATCGAATTTCCTGCATGATTATATTAACTCAGAGGGCGTAAGCAGCTTATACAATGGAAATGAAAACCTGTAATATCGACCTTGATCAATTTCGGTCTTCGCTCCAGCATCCCCTTAAAGACTAGATAAATTCATATATTAACTAAATCTTTCGGTTTTTTTCATTTCAGATAACCTGGTTCCGAATGGCAGTAGTCACTGCAAAATGTGTTTTGGAAAACGGCTTTCCGGACATTAGATATAACTTATATATTTATTATGCTATCATAGTAGTATGTGATTTTTGAAAAATCGATTTTTTGAAATTTCCGAGTATACCCCTTTGAAAAAAGAATCCGGATAACATCACCGTTTTAGCTACTCAGGGGAAATCGAATAGTAAAAGCTCTTGAAAATATACGGTAAAAAGATGAACTATTACATTCAAGAGGATAACGCGTACAAAAAACAGTTCGTATCTAGAACAAAATTTCTATAAAGTTTTTACACACAATTTTTTATATATTTTTCTGCAGCTTACTTATTTATTATTCTTTTTACAGAACATCTTCCTCGAAACTACTACGCAATATGCAACTCATTTTGGGGAAGAGATTCGCCCCAATACTCACATCGCAGTAAATATCTAGAAATTGGCATCAACTCATTATTTTATACTACTATAGTATGTATAGTATTGGAGACAACCGAGGTAATTATATTTCCCATGGCCCATCAATAATAATACAACAACGTGCAGTCAACACCACTAGTTACACCGTGGAAAATTCATGATCTTATTGTAAAAATACGCAACAAAAATATAGTAAAATTCACATCGCTCGATACTTTTATGTACATGAAGCCTTCAATCGTGTTATTTATGCTGAATCTCGAATATTGTATTGAGCATGCGAGTCATTGGATAATGCAGAATGTACATAAAGTTAATGAAAAATTTCAACAATTTATAACTATTATACGCCAAAAACTCTATTAATAATAAATGTGATTAATGTTCTTAGTCCGAATTCTCGGAAATTTTGAAAAAGAATGGGTTTCTTCGGTTTTTTTTCTTACCATATTTTTGCAGACTTTTTTCTTCTAAGATAATTTTATTTTTATTGTCCTTTATGCTAATGATTTCATTAAATTGCTAATTTCTTTTACTTTTAAGAATTCCAAGAAATAAATCATATATGAATAGAGTTTCCTGTCATGATCATTTATAAAATTAAAAAAAAATTTTTTTAAATATTGTATTTCTCTCTCTCTCTCTCTCTCTCTCTCTCTTCTGATAAAGACATTGAATATTAATTAAAAAAAGAAATACCAGAATTGAATCTCCTATACGGAAATATTTATCCTTTTCTTTCCAATGTGAAAAAAAAATAGAGGAAAGACAAACCGTAAGAAGTTTAATGCCGGAGTATAATGCCGGAAAAAGAACAAATTTCTTATAAGTATGTTATTACATATGTATTGCAAAGTATTACGTATTACATACGTATGATAAAGTTTGCAGGTATGTTCATATCTTATGGCTGCAGCATAAAATATTTCTAGACTCGAGAATTTTTCCATCTTACAACCAATCAACACATCCGCGAAAAACCTATCATATACGAGGTCTGTTCAAAAAGTATCGCGAATTTTGAATTTCCGCGGGTTACGTATATTCGATTTTCGATTTTTTTGTGGCGTTATGTTGGTACTCATGTCTCTCACTTATGCCGACAAGTTCGGCCATTTTGAATGTTCAATTAATTTTTGACAGCTGCTTTGCTTGTACGTGTTTTGGCTCGTCTTCGATTTTTGCCTATTCCAAAAAATGGATCAAAGAATCTGTATTAAATTTTGTGTGAAAAACAAAATTAAGTGCGCGGACGCATTCCGAATGTTGACTGTGGCATATGGTGAAGCTATCTTGGACCGAAGCAACGTTTATCGGTGTTACAAAATGTTCTCAGAGGGCCGAGAAGATGTGAACGACGAAGAGCGTGCCGGACGCCCGAGCACGTCAACAACAGACGAAAACATTGATAAAGTGAAGAAAATAGTATTGGCCAATCGTCGAATCACCATTAGAGAAGTTGCTAAGGACCTAAACATATCGATTGGCTCATGCCATTCGATTTTTACCAATGATTTGGGCATGAGACGGGTCGCCGCGAAATTCGTACCAAAATTGCTCAATTTCGACCAAAAATCGAATTAACATCGCATTAGCATCGCATTAACATTGCTAAGGAGCTGTTGGACTCTGTCCCCGACGATCCAAATGTGCTCCAGAGGGTCATAACTGGTGACGAATCACGGGTTTATGGTTATGACGTGGAAATCAAAGTTCAATCATCCCAATGGAAGCTGCCGCACGAGCCAAGACCGAAAAAAGCGCTCCAAGTTCAGTCGAATGTGAAGGTTTTGCTTACAGTTTTTTTCGATTGCAAAGGCGTGGTGCATCATGAGTTCTTGCCACAAGATAGAACGGTCAATAAGGAATATTACCTGCAAATTATGCATAATTTGCGCGAAGCAATCCGTCAGAAACGCCCGGAAGATTTGTGGAAGAACAAAAATTGGCTTTTGCACCATGATAACGCCCCTGCTCACACATCGTTGCTTGTGCGCGAATTTTTGGCCAAAAACAACACACTAATGATGCCGCAGCCACCGTATTCCCCTGGCCCCCTGTGACTTTTTCTTGTTCCCGAAACTGAAGAGGCCCATGAAAGGACGACGCTACGCTACGATTGAGGAGATAAAGACGGCATCGAAGGAGGAGCTGAACAAGATCACAAAAAATGATTTTTTGAAGTGCTTCGAGGATTGGAAAAAACATTGGCACAAGTGTATAATATCTGATGGGGATTACTTTGAAGGGGACAAAATAGATATTCATGAATAAATAAATAATTTTTGAAAAAACACAAAATTCGCAATAGTTTTTGAACAGACCTCGTATGTAATAATGCATAAACAGAGATAAATCTTCTATTTATTTGTAAAAAATAATTTAAAATAATTTAAAGCAACATTCTATCATTAAATTAAAATATAGGCGAAAAAGAATTTATTAAAAGAATATTTGTTTAGAAAAAATAAAAAAAAATTTAGTTTTTTTCGTTGATTTTATTTTTCCGGAAAATCAAAAACACTATAAGAGAATATTTCTTTTATTTTTCTGTATTTTTCGGAAAAAAACTAGGAAAATACAATATAAAATGTTTTCTTCAATTTTATTTTTTCGGAAAATTAAAAATACTTTAAAAGAACATTTTTAAAATTTTTCGTATTTTTCTGAAAAAAATCGGAAGAAATCTAGGTTTTTTTTTCGATTTTATTTTTCTGGAAAATTAAAAACTCTAAATGTGATGCGTTAAAAAAATTGCGTAAAGTTTATGATGAAATTTTAATCGTAGAGTGCAAATTATTAATGAACGCTACTGATAAAATTGTATGCGCTGCAAATTATAAATATTATGATTTTTAAAATAAGAAATAAATTAATGTTTTTGTAAACAAATTGTATATTATGATTCTTAACCTTAGGAAATCGAACATAATGTACTCCATGCGATTTTCTACATTGCTGTAACTTTTTTATAATATAATTTGAATACCTGGATTGAGGTTGAAAAAAAATTTAGCTGTCCATAGATATGATAAGCCTGTAAGGGTATTTTTTTGCATTATTTTCGATGAGAATGCACAAAAGTTTAAAGAGGGTACTTAGGACCCACACATGATTTGTAAGTTTTCGGCGTTTTGGTCTCCCTTTATTTTTTATTAAATATATGTTTACTGAGATAGTATAAAAGTAAATACACGAAAATGTAGAACTAAAAAGAATTCTATTTTAATATAATAAACAGTAGAAATTTTATAATTTCTGTCAGTCTTCGGAGACCGCTCGGTAGGAGCGGATTTCTTGCTTTAGAGCGAGTGTTGCATCCTCTAAACTTAATCCTAATAAACTTAATTATACTATGATGATATTTATACATGTATAATCCTTTATCTACTTATATTATTATTCTTTTATATTATTTAAATAATAAAATTTTATTTATTAATTGTAACTTAAAATATGTAGATTTTTCAAAAATATCGATTTTTGATAGTTCAAATAATTATACTTTTTTTGCGATTCATATGTATGATTCCAATGATTTTTTTTTGTTAATCCAACTAAAAAAATCCTACGCGTTTTTGCTTGAACATTAAATTAAAAAATTTGAGAATTTTTTAATTTAAAGTAGTCATTTTTTGCGAATTTGTCCAATAAAATTTCTTTGAAGCATTCTAATTAATTGAAGATAAAATATTATTTATTTGATCCATATTTTTCTGTCTTTGTGTAACTTCGAGGTATAAATTTCACACGTTTTGAGTTAAAAAATACGTATTCAGTCCAGAGATGGCAAAGTTGCAGGGTTTCGCATACCCTGGTTAGGAAAGGTAACCAAAAATAAGTTTGGCTTTCTAGGGTTAAATGTATAACTCAATTTATTAAATTATTTTCAGTCTCCTTTTTTCCCTTGTCTCTATTCAGCGCTTTAGAATTATATAATATATAAAAAGATTCACAGTTTTTCCTCAAATAAGTTAATCAAATTATTATTAAAATATAAATGAATAATAAAAAATTATAATTTTAATCTCTGTTTTTTTCTCTGGGTTTCCTCTACAATCCTGAAACATTTTTTGACTTTCTTCTATGAAATCATCTGCTTGTCAAGTAACTTCAAAACCTGTACGTTCCTATTTTTTCTTATCACGAAACGAGTCTTTCCTCTTTCCTTGCAATTAAGAATCTATCAATAATGATAGCTGTTCATTAGTAATATGTATACATTAGTAGTATTTATACATATAGTTCAATAAGTGTTTGATAGATAATAGTTTTAATAATAATTCGATAATTAGGAACGCTCAGCTATTTGTAGTATATCATTTAAAAAAAATGATGTATTGCTAAATTAAAATCATTGTTGAGTCTTATCATTTAAAGAATCATTGAATAAATACCATATCTATTTAATAAAATCGCGTGCAAAAGAAATAATGTGAACGTGGCAGAAAATACAATGGAAAGAGGAGAGAACACGAACACTAAGTGTAGGACTGCGGGTGGGACAGAGAGGACAACGGGTTAGAAAAAGAACGTAACGGGCGAGAGAGAGAGAAGGAACAAACCATCCCCTTCCTCTTCTAACATGGTGACACGTTTCCCCCTCTCTCGAATCCAGCGTCTGTGTGCATTTTTCCCTCCCTTATCCCTCACACACACATACATTCCGCATGTACGTATACGCACAAACCATAATTGGTTAGAATCAATGGATTAAACCTACTCTTAACGTTAAATAAACTACGTTTCGCTTTAAGTTCGTCAGCATCATTTTATCTTCGTTGTTGAAGTAATGCAAAAATTGAAAGGAATGTACCTTCAGAGTAGGGGAGACCGGGGTCAGTTGAATATAAGGGTAAGTAAAATAATCGAGGCTACATTAAAAACAAAACACGCGAGACACGCGTAAATGTGTCTGAGCACGCAGCAGCGACTGTCGCTAAGTCTGCTGTAACATCTTGTTGCGAATACACCTATGATAGAAGTTATGCTACAATTTTAAAAAATCGTACACTTAAGTAAATGTTTTTATTCTTAAAATTTTTGTTTCACAATCGTATATGATTGCCTGAAATGCAGCGACTGTCGCTAAGTCTGCTGTAACATCTTGTTGCGAATACACCTATGATAGAAGTTATGCTACAATTTTAAAAAATCGTACACTTAAGTAAATGTTTTTATTCTTAAAATTTTTGTTTCACAATCGTATATGATTGCCTGAAATATTTCTACTTAGATAGTAAGTATAGTTCTTACTTAATAAAGTCCAACAGATTTTTTTGTTTATGTGTCTTTGTTATCGTATATTATTAATGTTTTTAAAAAATGAACGAATGGTAAACTAACAGCATGGAATTGTATGACTCATTTAGTGACGACTCTTATAGTACTTACTCAAAATTTTTTTATTCAAAATTATTTATTTTTTTAAAGAGATTTTCCTCAGTGAAAAATGTTATAAGTTTAATTCCTTCATATTCAATCTTAAAAACTAGGCTTATTCGACTTTGTTTTTGCACGAAATGAACAAATTTTGCAAAAAAAAGTATTGTTTTGTTCTGCGAAGCGAATGTTCGCGTTTAAAATATATTTTTATAAAAGTTTTATTAATATGAAGCCAAAGATGTAATTTAAAATACATTAATCTTTATTTTAATAATCTTAGTCGAATTACCCCGGTCCCAGGGCTAGTTGAATCAGATGAAATGCATTAGAAAAATGCATTTTTTTTCATATTAGTTATTAGTTTCCTCTTGTTATTAAAATATTATTAGATAATTAAATTTATGTAATAACTGGTGTAGAATTCATTTTTCCGATAAGTCTCTTAATTTCATTTGTAAAAATTTGAAACTGAAAAATGAGTTTATTAGCCCCGGTCTCCCCTACACTTTTGTAACTTAAAAGTAAGATAGATATATGCTTCATATCTGGCGAAAGCAAGAAAGAAATTTCTTGCTAGTCTAATACAGAAATAAAAAAGTCCCAATGATGATAGTAAAAATGACGATGACATATCTTAACATAAAAGTTTCAGATTTCAAATTTTGCGTCGTAATATTTGCGCACGTAAAGGAGAACTAGAAATACTATATTATGCAATCCAAACTAGCTATCAGTTGAGCCTAATACAAACTTGATTAAATTATTATAGTTCTTATTGAAATCTGATAATTATGAATACCCACAACTGATTTGTTTAAGGCACGATTAGTCTTGCGTTATTCACAGTGTGTACTTTTAGAACCAAGACACTACTGTGTCTCTTAATATTGAAGTTCGAATGAAATCACCAATCAAATTTGCAATTGCGAAAATTAAATTTATTCACTTTAGGCAGATAATTTATAAATAATTAATGACGGGACAAAATACATCATTTCGAAATATATAATAGTTCCGTTATAATAAAAATATCTGTCGTGACAATATATCTGTAAAATGAGAAATCTACGAGTCAATTTCATTAATTAAATAAATACAGAATTTAAAAAAAGGAGATTAATTTAAATACCAATAATACCATCCTCTAACAATAAGAGGGATATTGTTTTGAATAAAAATATTGAAAAATAACCGTCAATTTAAATGGAAAACATGGAATGTTGCCTTGAGTTTCAATATATCTATATATCTACAGTCCAGTAGTCGCTTTATAAATATTCAAAGACAAGCTGCCATGGAATGTTAATATCACGAACAAAATTAAACGTCGCTTCCTCGCGTACTCAACAGATCGTTTTATATTAATTTTGTTTTGATTTAATGTCTGAACAATTTGAATGCTCGCGAAATAGAAACTTCGGCGTTATTTATTGGAGCATAGTCAATTTGTTGTCGATTGAATTAAATGTAATAGAAGGTTTTTTTATAGTGGCTTGTTTACAGTGGCTTGTATCGAGTGGATAAACTTTGGCAGATATACAGAAAGGCATTCGAAGTGAAGATAGGTATATATATTATAGGATATCTCGAATAGATACATGTGTACAGTCACATTTTAAAGCTATTATCTTTGAAAATATATAAGTCCTTTTTGATAACGAACAATGTTATTGCTTTTAAGGGTTCTCTTTTTAGATCAATTGCGATATTGTTAGCCTTTTTTTACTTTGGCACGAAGCTAACAAAACGTATTGCCTCGGACAAACAGATTACAGACGTATTGCCTCGGGCAAACAGATTACATACTGTAATTTCGATTATTTGCATCAGCAGAGACGATCATTAATCAGATGATCATTAATAGAACCTAAAGATTCTTTAACATAAAGGATAGATCGAAATTTAAAGATAAGATTAATTTAAAGATAAGAAAATGAAGCAAAGGAGCCTCGCGAAGTAAACAATTTTGTGCATTATATTTATTTCCTTTTGTATCTATCCTTTATGTATATATCCTTTTGTATCATTATAAGTTGATTTATTGAGAATTTTCTTCAAATAGAATCTAATTTGGAAATATCTTTTCTGCAGATTTTAAGCTTTTAACTTTATGTCTCTCTCTCTCTCTCTCTCTCTCTCTCTCTCTCTCTCTCTTTCTCTTTCTCTCTCTCTTTAATATGCATTTATAGAAATCATCAGCCGGATAAATTAACGAGATAAATACTCACCTTTTCTCCTTTTGTTGCTTCTTTTTCTTCTTGAACGCATTTTTCACTCGAAGAAGTAGAAAAGCGGCGCGATCGATGGTTAGGCCTGGTGAAGTCTTGTCACCACTTGACATTTTGCATTCGAATCCTCCCAACAACTACAAACATATTCAAGGATGTAATTAAAGTTTTAAACGTTTAAAATCTAACAAGGGAAGTTTCACAACTGTCTGGAATTGATTTTATTCTCCATGAAATATGTTGTTAAACGAAAATCTAAGAGATATATTTTTTTATACGTGCCCTAATTCATGTTTAAGGGGTGAAACATCTTTTTGAAAAAAAAATGGTATTTTTCTTTCGAGGCGAATATTGTCGGGAGTATAAAAAACAGAAAACAATTTTTTTAAACAAAGTTGAACGGTTTCAATTTTATAGATATCAAGAAAAAAAGATTTAAACAATTTTTTTGTTCAACAAAATCCCCACCACCCGTAATTTTCTTAAATTTTCAATTTTTTTTTTACCAAATTAAAGATTTTTTTTTTTTCGAATTCAACTACGTGTAATAAAGTTACATTACGACATATCATTTTCGAGAATAAATTATTAACGCTTCCCTATATACGCCATCCATGCTCATATGCGTAAGTATAACAATTGTCGTTGGAGCAATAAAATATATAAATCAACAAATAAGGAAATTGACATGATTGATATTTGTAACATTACAAATTATAAATAATGTGAAGAGTCATAATAATTTTTATTATTTTTCCTTAAAGTGAGTGAAACTTTTTTATTCATCTCTGTACATTACTTCTTTATAATATCTTAAGATTATTCTCTTAAAGTTATTTTCAGTTTTACGTTTTAATATCTTATTTACTAGTCGTTTATGTAATAATTTCTAAATTTATTTAATAATGAAATAATTTTTAAATGTTCATACACAATAAATTTATATATGCTTACTCATTATAAACAGTACAATAATGATACTCGATGAAAAAAATATTTCTAACATAATAGCTTCTTACATCATGAACTTTTTATTTAAATTATATTACTGCAACCTTCAATGTCATATGTTGTTGAATTTCGTCGAAATTATATTCTACTGGATTTTCAAACTTTTCTGGTATTTCGTAACTGCTTGTAATAAGTGATTAGATAACTGTGCGGTAATTATATATATATATACACACATATGATAATAACATAAAATACAGGCGTCAACGCTGGTTATTAGGTTAGCAATTCTTCTTAATATTAAATATATAAACCTTGACCTTGAACGTTTCCACTCATAGTTTGCATCTTCATTAGCAATCTTTCCCTCTAACACAACGATTGGATTATTGCATTACAAAATAATATCTCCAACGTTCTTCCTCTCAAAAAATTGAACCGTTAATTGTTGTGAGGTAAGACATGTACTCACAAAGTTAGAAAGCTGAGTGACAATGAGAACTTAAGCTAAAATTATATAAATGACTAAATTATCGTATGTATAAAATTGAAAATTAAAAATCACCTCACCTCACACAGTCGACGCTTCAACACTGAACAATAAATATGTCGTATCCAATATTTTGTACATTATTAATAAGTTATCGTCAAAATTTTAAAATATTAACTGAGAGAACAATTTATGTCTTGTCATTTCGACCATCGATTGAATAATGATTGCTAAACGAGTAACATAGCAGTCAATTTGAAGATAAACAAATTATAGTTTATGACATGTATTATATTACGAACAACTTTACAGTTTATTAAGAATCTCAGTATAAGCATGTTTTAAGGCAATGATATCATATTGTAAATTTAGCCCATTTGTCTGTCGATTAATATGCATCATCTCCGATATCAATCGTTATAATAATTCTCCACATCCAAAATTTCCACATTTTGTCAATCAAAGTCATGATCGTTTTGCAATCTATGATCTGTAATCATTGAATGTTTGATTATGGATATAGTTTTGGTGTTCAGAAAGTCTGGTTTTTAATTTCCTCCCTGTTTGTCCTACATAGGAAGCATCGCAATGAACAGCAATTGATCTTGTAGACTATATTTCTTTTTAATTCATTAAGAGTCTTTATGAACCTTTGTAATGCAATAATCCAACTGTTGTATTAGGCGGAAGATTACTGATGAAGATTCAAACCATGAGTGAAAACGTTCAAAGTCAAGGCTTATATATTTAATATAAGAAGAATTGCGCTAATTGATAACCAGCGTTGACTTCCATCGCCTGTACTTTGTGTTATTATCATATATTTCTAAATTGTTCGATTAAAGGAGTTTATGAAAACCTTAGTTTTGTATTAGTTTATAATTTCTCATTGTAAGTACGCTAGGCTGAAAAATGCGTCACCAACATAGATCATTTCTTAACTTTATTCATTGTGTGTTTGGATTTTACTATTAGGTAGTAATTCTATCAATTTTTTGGACACAACTACAATATAATGTTAAAAAATAAATCATTGATATTTGACTAGTATCAAAAACCAACGTTTTGGAAAGATTTTTGGGAATTTTTTGTCTCAGCATCCAATCCCTCAAAAGAAGGGCATAATTTTCAATTTGATAGATAAAGTTTTTTATATCTCGCATTCATAATTTCACAAAAAGAATTTCGAATTTGTTGTAAGAATACTTTTGGATAACAATTATCTATTGGATTTTATATTCGATTAATGTAAGAATTAAAACTTTAAAAATTTAATAAGTAAATTGAATTCTTGTTCAACTAAAAGATCAAATAACAACTTACCTAAAGAACAGGTGAAATGGTTTTCCATACCGTATGTAGAAGAGATATCGAATAAATTTAAGAATATGATTAATGAGGTTTGCCGTAGGGTTTTTTTCGAAAAAGTTGAATCAATTTATTAAGGTTCATAAAGACTCTTTAAATGATGAATTAAAAAGGAATGTAGTCTACAAGATCAATTATTGTGATTGCGATGCTTCCTATGTGGGATAAACAGAGAGGAAATTAAAAATCAGACTTTCTGAACACCAAAAGCATATCCATAGTCAAACATACACTTCGGTGACTACCAGGTGTATGCATAAGTTTTTTCTGGTTTTTTGGTAAAAAAAAACACGTAATTTTCAAGGGAAATTAATTTTTTTTTATTCAAAATATTGGCCATCGGCTTCTACATTTCGCCCATCTTTCAGGTAATTTATGAATACCATGCCAGAAAAACTGCTTGTCTTTTGCGGCAAACCATTCGTCGAGTCATTTTCCAACTTCCTCGAAATTGCTGAAGTGCTGCTCTGCGAGCGCGTGCCCCATTGATGCGAAGAGGTGATAGTCAGATGGCGCCAGGTCTGGGGAGTACGGCGGGTGCGGAAGGATGTCCCATCCAAGCGATTTCAAGGTGTCTTTCACTGGTTTTGCTGTGTGAGACGGCGCATTGTCGTGTAACAAAATCACTTTGCCATGTCTTCTGGCCCATTCCGGTCGTCTTTCGATTAATGCGTGGTTTAAATTAATCATTTGTTGGCGATAGCGTTATGTATTAACGATTTCGCCGGGCTTCAAGAGTTCATAATACACAATACCGCTCTGGTCCCATCAGACACAGAGCATGATCTTCTTGCCGAAGCGATTTGGCCTTGGTGTTGATGGACCGGCTTCGCCAGGTGAAAGCCACGATTTTTTCCGTTTCGGGTTTTCAAAATAAATCAATTTTTCGTCACCCATCACAATTCGATGCAAAAATGATTTCCTTTCGTAGCGTTGAAGCAGCATTTCACAAGTGACTTTGCGATTTTCCATTTGACGTTCATTCAAATTGTGTGGGACCCATTTACCGAGTTTATTGATCTTTCCCATTACTCGTAAACGTCTGCTGATTGTTTCTTGTGATACATGTAATGCTTCTGCTAATTGTCGTTGAGTTTGAGTTGGGTCTTCATCCAATAACTCCTGCAATTGCTCGTCTTCGCATTTTTGTGGTCTACCAGAGCGCTCACTGTCTTTCACATTGAAATCACCATTTTTAAATTGTCGAAACCATGTCTCACATGTTCTAATCGATGGAGCGTGTTCACCATATGTTTCTACCAGCAAACGATGACTTTCAACAGCCTTTTTCTTTTGATTAAATAAAAAAAGCAATGCGTGCCGCAAATGTTCTTTTTCAGGCACAAAACTCGACATGATCATTGAACGATAAAACAAAGACGCTAGTTTTTGACGGACTCAACTTGTGTGTGTTTGTAATTAAATGTCAGACGAACAAAATGGCGTATGTGTCAAATTAATACGCTGCGTACTTTTCGCTGGCGCCATCTCTTAGTTAAACCGGAAAAAACTTATGCATACACCTGGTATACATCATAGGTTGCAAACGATCATAACTTTGATTGACAAAATGGAGATTCTGGATATGGAGAATTATTATAACAAACGATTGTTGGAGATGATGCATATTAATCGACAGATTACTATATTTTATATTAAGTATATTTTATATTAAGTATTTAGCCCAATGGGCTAAATTTACAACATGATATTGTTGCCTTAAATCATTACACTGAGATTCTTAATAAACTGTAAGATTGTTCATAATATAATATATGTCATAAACTATAGTTTGTTTGTCTTCAAATTGACTGCTATGTTACTCGTTTAGCAATCATTATTCAACCGATGGTCGAAATGACAAGACACAAATTGTTCTCTCAGTTGGTATTTAAAAATTTTGAAGATAATTTTTAAATTATTAACAATGTACAAAATGTTGCTACGACATATTTATTGTTCAGTGTTGAGACGTCGACTATGTGAGGTGAGGTGATTTTTAATTTTCAAATTTTATACATACGATAATTTAATTATTTATATAATTTTAACTTAAATTCTCATTGCTACTTAGCTTTCTAACTTTGTGAGTACGTGACTTACCTCATAACAATTAACGGTTCAATTTTTTGAGAAGAAGAACGTTGGAGATATTATTTTGTAATGCAATAATCCAACCGTTGTATTAGGAAGAAAGATTGCTGATGAATATTCAAACCATGAGTGGAAACGTTAAGAATTTATATCAATATTTAATATTAAGAAGAATTGCGTTAATTGATAACCAGCATTGACTCCTATCGCCTATACTTTATGTTATTATCATAT